GTTGCCATCACTTTCTTGGTAGCACAGTGGTCATGCTTAAACATCAAACTTTATGTCTCAACATTGCTGTAAACATTGTCTAGTATTAATCCAGCCAGTCATGTGCCATATTTTATGTAATGATCCATACTTTCACACCACAGACACACAGCCAGAAAAAGAAACACATTGATTTAGCGCTCAGTAATCCTTGTTTAATCCCCAGTCCTTTGGTTTACATCACTAGCATGGCTCCTGAAGTAGTCAGTGTTCTATCTTTGTTCTTGGCAAACTGAATGAAAGGAAAGATTTATTAATTTGTAAGTTGGCTTTGTAGACGCATCTTAAGTGTGCTAAAAACCAAAGCAGTCCAGAAACCAGTATTGACTTAACTCTATAAAAATTTGCTCTTTAAAACTCACCAAACCTTTGCAACAATCAAAGTCAAGCTGCAGAGAGTAATTTATTGGCTTACTAAAGCCGTTGCATTGTATAGGGCTAAATTTAACAACGCTCTCATTGCAGGCCCTCAGCTTACTTCCTTTTTCACTCATTACTACAAATACAATTAATCTCCTCTTTCCTTGCTCATCTACACCTAGGACTGCAATGCTTTCTGGCTCATGTACTGAAAAAAGAAAGGGCTTGGAACTAATGGATTCATTTGCAAAAAACGTTAGAGGGTCAGAGATCACCATTCATTCCACTGGTGATAAATATTCCATGTAATTGCTGCACAAATGCTAGTGTTTGGGATTTATTTCTCTTAGTTTACAAATGCTGGTTGCTTTCTTCCCTCTCGGTGCCAAAGATGATGATTCTTGGGAGGAAGCCTTTTGTAATAATTTAGCTGTCATCACCTTCACTCCTGAATCCTTTAGGCTAGGTACAGGCTAGCCCTGTTCCTTTCTGGCAGGTGAGATTCCAGAGCTAACTCCAGCAGCTTAAGGTGGCTCTTTACTCACAACCTTCCTGCTAGCAAGTCAGTTGAAATCTCAAGTGATAACCGTGCTCATGTTACAATTGTAAAGAGCTTTACTTTTTTGGGGGGAGAGGAAGGAATTGTTGATTTCCTAGCTGCAATCCGATAACTGTATTTTACAGTCTGTAGCAATACAGACTGTCCTTCCTGCTGGAAATCATTCTACTTTGGGCAAGTCCAGGTCAGTTCCTTAAGCAAATAAACTTTTACAAGACTGTAATTCACTTCCTAACTATGGCATTTAGGCTCAACTCTAAATCAAGCTAATGCAGTCTGGTTGCTCATTTCAAGGAAACTATAATGTGAAAAAGATTAAAATTCCCTTTACTGAATGTTTAAATAAAATCAGTAGGGATGTAAAGTGTTAATGAATTAATTGTTGTAATGTGCAGAAGTATCACATGGATAGTGCTTTGGTAATGGGAAGTAAGTAAGTATAGTATGGGTCTGTTTTTGCAGGCAGGTCTGCACTGTGTCCTTCTTCTTGAAGCTGATGAAACTCTTTACCTCTGTGTCTGTCTGCTAGTAAGGTTACAGATGCAGTTCATGCCCTCATTTTCAATTTGTGTTTGCATGATTGAGTTTATTTTTAAATCTACCTAGTCAGACAAACATAAATATTTAACCCCAAGCAAAGGGTGGTAAGTTAGATGTGAAGGCAACATAGTAATCTTTAGAGTATCTTCCAACAGACCTGTTAGTATATCTAAACATCCCTTGTGAGTCTCCCTAACTACTTTAGATACTGACATTGACAGTAAATGCCATTTTTTAGAGAAAAGAATATACTCAAAGGTTCCTAACTTTCAGACTGTGATCTAATAGCACTCTTATTAAGACATGGGGTATTAACCCGTTCTTCCTAGGGGGCTGCCACTGTGTCAGTGTTGTAGTATTTGCATCAAAAGTTATTTCCTACAGTGGATGTAGGATGCACAGGCCTTTATTAAAGATGCATTTTGTGTACTTTTTGGGACCTGAGGCCTAGAACACAGGAGAGGAATACTGTGTGGGGGTGGCTGTGAGCCAGCTCATCAGCCAGCCACGCCCGGAGCAGAAGCCAGGCTGTGTCAAAGCCTTGGAGCCTCACCATGGCTCTGGAGCATTAGTGCTTGTTTGTAAGAACAAGGGGTGTGCATGGAGCTGCCCTGAAAGGCTAGAGAGGTTTGCATCTTAGAGCATCATACTGCTCCAGTATTGAAACTGGCTTCTCACAGCTTACAATACTCTCTGGTGGCATAGCTGCCTTTTCCTGTCAAAAGGGTGAGACAGCAAGTAGTTCTCTACCAGGACCAGGCTTGGCCCTTCTCCTTTGCTACACTAACCCTTTGCCCAAGGTGGGTGAGCCCTGGATTTCCTTTCCTTTTCTGCTGGATGAGCATTAAACCTACAGCTCAATTCTGTGGAAGTTGCTTAACAGTGTAGGCTGCTGTTTGCTGCCCTGGAGAAGAGGAATGCTTGCACCCTCCAGGCCACGCCCCCATCCCAGTGCCACTGCAGAGTGGCTCTCAAGTCCATCTGGAAGAAGAGGGGGGAAAAGGAACTTTGAATAGCTGGGATGCACAGTTGAGAGAGGAAGCTGAGTGTGGGCTCACAATGCAGGGACTGACTGGGTGTCTTGTGGGTTGGAGGGTTTTGGTGTCTTATGGGTTGGAGGGTTTTCATGGTGGGTGGTTTGTTTGTGCGTTGTTGTGTGGTTTTTTTTTTTTTTGAGTGATAAGCTGTGGAAACCTAAATTTTGCTCAGAAGCTAAGTTTTTCAGATAGTCTAAAAGCATAGTGAGCTCCAGCACTGAGCAGTCCCATGCCTGTTGTACCAGGAGTCCCAAGAAGGTGTTCTTGGCCTTGATCCACGCAAAATGAGGGTAGCAGTTATACCTCTAACCCTGTACCTTGGGGTTGGGGGGGATAAAGTGCTAATTTTTGACACAGGACACCTAAATCCCTGCTTAAGGAGATGCAGAGCTGTTTTTTCACCTTCCAGGACAGTGCCCAACCACCAGCTTGACAGTGCTTTCTTAGGGCATGAGCCTTCCTCAGCTCTCACTTCAAGGTTGTTGATAAGAAAGGTGCAGTGATTACATAGGTTAAAGCATGTGGCAGGGCAGGCTCCTGAGCAGATGGAGGCACTTAATTTTAATATTAAACTTATGTATTTATAGTGTAAGTGTGAGAGGAGACTAAAACCTGAGTGTGTACCCACTGGGTTATGTGCTTTTGAAAATTGATCGTGAAATGGTTGTCGTACAGCAGAATTTCACTAAGTCCTGTTTGCAGAGCGCTACTCAAATGGGAGACACTGATCTCAAGGCTGCCTGAGAGGCTTCATGTGTGGTGTAGTATGAGACAGGACAGCCAAAAGGAAATCTCTTTGCAAACTCCCTGTGATGGGTCCATGGACCACACACAACAATGTTTTCTGTGCTTGTTTGTTTGCTTCCTTACGTCAATTCTGGCCTAATTTAAGAAAGGGGAAAAAGAAAGGGGAAAAAAAAGACAAAAAGGTTTCTTCCATCAGCCTGCTGGCCTGGAGCCTCTTGTAGGGTGTAGGTAGCTCCTCTTCTGCATGAGAGGTGGGTGATGGGTGGAGATAGAGATGGGGCACTTACCATCTAGGCAGCTCTGCTTACATCTGGTAGATGTAATGAACACCAGCACCTCCTCTTGACTCAGGATCACTCAAAATTAGGCTTTAACTTTCAACTGCAATGTGATCCTGCATGCAGCTACTGAATAGTAAAGAAATAATCAAAGAAATGAATTATTTAAAGTGTCATCACACTCCAAATGTGTAAGGCCAAGTTTTATTTAGAAAAGCCTGGCAACAGTATCCTGTTTCTGTGTTTTAATGGAAAGAACATTGGGCTTGGTGCTTAAGGTTTTTAGTCCAACAGTATTCTCTGCCTGTAAAGCACAGCTGGATAGCAGATCCAGAACTTAATTTGCCTGTGTGTTTTCTCTGAAATAATTTCTAAAGTCTTTTGATGTTGCTGTTCGCTACAATTCTGGTGACTTTTTCTTTGATGTCCAGCTCTGTACAGAGGCAGAAACAAGTATTTCCAATGAAGTATCAACAGTGCATGGCCTGGACACAGAACATGTCAGTTTGTAAAGCTGAGTTCTCGTTTCCAGGCCACCTCCTTTTTAACAAACTGGCCCTGGCTAATTGCTTCAGTGGAACAGTTGTAACTGCAGCTTTGTGACTTAATACAACAGTAAGGTGTCTATGAACACACTGTTGTATGTCTAATATGCTTTAAAAGAATGCAAATGCTGCTTCACGATTCAAACAAAAAAACTTTCCTGAATGAATTTCAGCTTCCATGACTGTAGAGATGACAAGTAAATGGAGCCATTCGCACTGTGTGGATAAGGATTTATCCACGCAATTCCCCCTAACTGTTAATGGGAATTGTGTAGCTGAATTCCCCGACTTGCCATGCTGAAACTTACCCCTAACCCTCCTAGGAGAAGGGTGCTAATTGGATTGCTGAGTCTAAATCCTTCAGCTAGTCAGTCTATGGAAAGGATTTAGCACTGGCTCTGTAAAAGGCTTTACATAGCTTTGCAGTGCAGTGCAGGGGAAGATTTTTTCCCCTTCCTTTCTTGTGATTAATTGTGAGGCTTGAGGTGACTGGAGACATAATGAAATTCATAAATGCCAAAGGCCGTCCCTCATCACATTCCTGGCTGTTGGTTTAAGTTAGAAACTGACAGAAGTGTGAACAAATCAAGGTTGTTCTGATAGCCTTTCAGTTAGGGGGAAGAAAAAGTAACTGACAATGAGAAACCACTGGAGGTGGTTTAATGGGTATAAATTTTCACAAAAGAGTGATATTTTACACTGATTCACATTCTTGGATACGTAAGTGACTTACAAACAGACGTACTCTGCCCCCACCTCAGACTGAGGGATTCCAGTCCTTTTTCACAAAAGAAGATATTGGCACAAGTTATTGAAGGAACCTGCCAAAGAAAAGCTGTTGCAAAACCTGTAGTAGGAAGGGACTTGTTCTGTGTCTTCGTTTGTGACTGGCCTTGCTCTGCTTGTTATGAATTTAAAAAATCCACTTCCTCCTCTGGAAAACAAAACTTGCAGCTCGAACAAGCAGCATAAAAATTAACCTAGGACTCTTACTTCAGCCTGGAAATATTTTCTACTACTTCCCCACATCCAGGTTTGAATTACAGTATAAAGAATTGCTTCACCAATCCTGCTTTCCTTGTCCCTGACAGTGCAGAACATGTCACGTCTCAGTATATATTGACCAGATACTGATGCGGTGATCCTTTGAGCCAGCTGCCAGCAGTCTTTCACTGGGGTTTTCGTGATCTGAGAAGGACACACAATGGACAGTTGCTGTGTGGTAGTCCAGCACTGCTAAGGGCTTCAGTTTTTTCCAGCCAAAGATCCTGATGCGATGATCCCACCCTGCTGTTGCTAAAATCTTCTTGTCTGGACGGATGGTGATATCAGATATGCCAGCATTGACAAGTTTGTGTGTTTTGTAAACCTGTGTGAGAAAGTTATAGATGAGTTCTAATTGTTTAAAACAAATGAGAAAAAGGAACTTTTGGGGATTTTAGAAGGTATAGCACCCACCCATATGCACTATGGGTATCGCACAGGTAGTATGGAGCTTTTCACCACATGGTGGATGATGCCTTAGTGAGAGCAATTATAGACCGACATGGAAAAGAGCTTAACTTGAGCCTTAACTCCAGCACTGCTGTCTAAAAATAAAGCATCCCCTGTATGTCTTTCATTTATATTGCATTTAAAGCTGTTTTATATTCTGTCACAAGTGAAGCTCTGAGTAAAGGTTTTGAGAACTGGACTACACAGCTTTGCTCTTTTCTTCCAGCTATTCTTCCATGAGTTGCAATGTTCAGAGCTATGGTCATATATTTTTCCCTGCTTCTGCAATATTCCCATGCTGAGATTCTGAGCTGATGTTTAAACTACCTGCTACTTATTTCCACTACTGTGCTCCACCTGTTCCCCCCAAAAACCCCAGTAAGCTGTGGTAGCACAGTCTTGAGAAAGGAATGCTTCCAGGAATTAGGTTACAGTGTCAGGAAATCTGTATTTCTAGTACTCCTTCCCAAGAGACTTTTATTTACACCAAATTCCAAGAAGGGGATTATGAACAAGTTATTGATTTCAATCTTGGAAGCCTTTTGTTACTGTTTGGAGACTACTGGGGCACCAGTTTCTGAGGGGCACAATTAAATTGGAAGGCATTTAGCTTCCTTCAGGAGGCACTGGGGCTGTACAGGACTTAGTCCTTGGAAAGAAAAGTTTTCAGTGACATGTGCTTCCCCTGCAGCACAGAGGAAAGGCTCAATGTAATACACTTTTGCTGTTCTTACCTCAGGTAATTTGTATTAGTCAGCAGTCTACCTCTGAAACCTACGCAGTGTGTGTGCATGTGTGTTGAAATAGCCTAGCTTTTGTCACAATGTGGAAAACGCCTTTTGAGTGTACGCTGACTTTGAAGAGCTGTTATCTATAAGCACAATTGGAAATGACATGCTAATGCCACCATCTCCTTAAGACTGAATCTGTAGCTGTCTTCTACCAAAGCTTAATATATTCAGTGAATGTTTTAATAAGCTGTATGGTGTTTGCTGTTTTTCTGAGGCAGGAAGGGATTGACAAGCATATTACATCTGAGTAGCTTTCCTCCTCGAAGGACATTCCATGATACATAGTTAGTACATGATTACAAAGAATATATTAATTGTAGGCAATTTTAACTATAATACTGGATGTAGAAAACCAAAACCCCAGAAATGCTGGGCAGAGTTGGTTTCAGAGGCAGTTTAACACATCTTGGAATCTTACCAGCACAAAGCTATAAACAATTATTTTTCAACTGTGTAAAAAGTGCCCAGCTACTTACTCAAACAGCAGGAGATGTGCAATTTGATAAGAAAGACTAAATGAAACTCGATGTGCTTCTTGCATGCTCGACATATTCCCCTTTTAAACAGGACCTGACAAATGTGTCTACAACCAATTCAGGTCAGAGGACAGCAAGTTTTGCTCAAGCCTGATGAACAGTAGGAGGCTACATGTGGGCCTTTTTGTGAGGCTGCTACTGTAAAACCTGTGCTTTTTGCTAGTAACTATGTTCTTCAAAACTCCCCAGCTGCGCTAGTGTAGCATGGCTTTAGTGGGATTTGTGTTGGCATATGCGTACTGGCAAGGGAAGGATTTATTGCTTACATTGCCAGCCTGGCAAATGTAAGATGTGCCTTACTCTGTAAGTGAGATTATTAGCTAATGGCTATAACCAATCCTGGGCGTGGTGCTTCCCATCATTACTGTCAATTATGTGGGCAAGATCCATACAGCAAAATCAGGGCGACTGGGAGAAATTGCATGTCATCAGCAAGCTACAACTTGAAAATGAAGCCTATAATGGTGATGCCTTTTGGCTATGGAACATGAGGGAACAGTGGGCATTTGTGCATGATCTGCAAATACAAGAGGTGAGGGTGAAAAACAAAACAAAGTAGAACAACTTGCTCAAGGTATATGCAGCCAGGTGAAATCCTAGTGCCAGAATTTGTGCCATCTAGTCACTTACAGGCAACTACTGTAGTCAAATGCATACCAACCTAATTTCCTAACCAGAAAACCAGCTTGTAATTAAGAAAACAAAGAGGTAAAAACAGGAGAGCTGCTTTCAGCCAGTCATGACCAAGGACACGTGCATCTACTAGCAGATGCATTAAGAAATGCTGACATGTTGAGGCCAACAGATACCCACCTCTCCTTTTCTCCTTAACACATGCTATCTGTGATTTGACTCTTTTTAATCTCCCTCCCCCTACACCCAAATCATGTCTTTAAGCCCTATTCTTATTAGAAAAATAGCCAAGATAGTGGCAGCCTTAGCTTCAGCATTTGAGAGAAATGCCTCAGCATTGCCTTAGCAACCCGACCAATAAAACTTGTGCGCTTACTTAGATTACAGCTTATAGAATTTTTTTTTCTTGTCATATATAAAGGAGCTTCTGTGATTATCAGATTTTTTTAATTCTGCTTTGTTTATTCACCTGCAGAAGCTGTTTACCTCCTACATTCTACCACAAACATCATCACATAATTACACTATCTTGTCCAAATCAGAAGGCTCATAACCAATCCAGTTATTTGCTGACAGTGATGATTTCAGCAACTTTCTTGTAGAAGACAATACACCAAACTTTCCCCATAGCAATAAACTATGAAGTTACCTTCATCATCTACTCATTGACACACTGGAACATTGCCACTTAAAACAGAGCTGAAGTGCCATCATTGCGTCATTATTTCTCCAACAGCAGATAGCTATGCACCACATTTACTTATTAAAACCTCTTAGAATAAAAATAATGTGCCACTGAGTGGCTTTCCAACATCTACCATTACCTCAGGTACCTGGAATGTCAGGGAAAAAAAAAATCCCCATCTGGTTTATATTATTAATGCAATAGTGGAAAAAAACTTAATCTATGTCCTTGACAATCTCTAGCGCTCATATGAAAGATGCATTTTATTAGGGCATTCACACTATGCATGAAGCACAGAAACATTACTTACGGTTTATGATACTTGGCATTTAAATTTCTTCTGAGAAAAGCTACTATCTCTGTGTGACGTGCTGAAGATGTAACTAATCCTACATCTCCTGGGAATGTGAATACCCTGTGGAAAACAATACCTGAATATTTCAGGTGAACAACTGTGTATTTTTCCCATGAGTCATACCTGTACCCTTGCATTATGGTTAACTCATAACTGAGATGTACTGTGGAGAAAAAATATTTTCTTTTAAATGAGGAAAAAGCTATGCTATAATTAATGTGAAGGAACAGCTTCCTCTCCAACACCAGAGTATTTGAAGCTTTAAGAAGCCTGTCATTATGTCAGATTTCTGACACCTTGGCCTTAGAAAACTAGTCTCAATACCAAGCTCCTTACTGGGACTTATCTGCTCACCTTCCTTCTAATTCCATGAGCTAAGGACCACCAGGTGCAGATGTGTGCCAACAGGGACAGAAAGGCCGGGGCAGGGGGAGGGCAAACATGACCCAAAAAAAACCCAAACCATTACAGTTGTGTATTGGACTTGTTAAAGCTCCTCTTTATCGCACTGGCGCTTAGAACACCTTTGCTACTTATTCAGAGTCGAGTGCCTCTTTTACTTCATGTCGTATTGCTTATTAAAGCTCAGACCTTCACGGTGAGTGCTGCGTTCCTCCAAACTTCATCTCAGTTGGATGCACTTACACTACATGCACTTGGCCTTAGTGCTCTACCACTCCATAAATGCTAGTTCTGTGGTGATGCCTAACAGATTATATAACTTTGCAGTGTCCTCCAGCTGATGAGTCACTGTTGGCTGTCCAAGCAGCTGTAGCACCTTACAGGGAACAGCATTAACTTGCCACACTATCTAAAAAATCTCCACAAAAGCAGCAAGCTGGAAGAGTGATTATTGTTCTTCCATGAATTGGTGTATCCAGCAGCTCTCTTACCAAGGATGATACGGGGGCATGCAGGGGCTTGTTCAGGTCCTCTTCGTTGTGTGTTCAGGGGACAACTGCCACTTTAAAAAAGGTTAAAGCACTCAGCAGTGGAGAGGCTATGCATAGGCCATTTTCGTTTTCATGAGCCTTTATTTATGCACTTAATTTCCACACCTAGTTAAAATCTACTTAACCCCTTGGCACTGTTGGAACACTTGCTAAAGTTGTCTAGATTAAGCAATATTTATTGCCATTCACTAGCATAGCCTGAACTGGTGATTATTGAGACCTCCTTCATTCCTTCTAAACCAGCCATTCCAGGTACTCATAGCTCAGACGCAAACCGATACATCCAATTAACTTATTTTCTCTGTCTCTAGCTAGGACTCTAAAGGTGCCAAAGGATGCTGGTTGCCTAAACCTCATGTCCCTCTGGGTGCTAGCTGGGTTATTCCTACTCTTTTTGTTTGTGAAGTATTTCATGGAATAGCTCTGTCTTTCCCAGAGTGGAAAGAAAGCTCTATCCATTCAAGCAGAACCTTTGAAAAAGCAATCCTTTGTTTCTCATTTTTATAACTAACTCGCTCATTTATAATGTTTAGGACATTCCGAGAACTGGATACTACTAACGTGATAAATGAAGATACAGGGGCAATGTCTTGAGTAATGCTAGGCTTGTGTGCCTGTTGCAACTTTGGTAAAACCAGAAACATGTGAGAGAGGGGTTTTTTTTCTGTTTTTTAAATCCTCACCATCTTTTGCTAAGTCTAGTCACATAGCACAGACATTCTAACCAGTCTGTGATTAATTAGCTAGAGATCTGCAACAACTCCTCTTCATGACTAAATATTTTTTTAGTCTATCAAACTGTTAGTGCAAAGTGGGATAAATGACACTAGAGGGCCAATGATCCTGACCTGGAGGTTCTGTTGCTCATCGAGGCTCCAGATGCTAAGCACCTTTTCAGATGAGCCTGAGATCCCCTTGGCCTTCTCCGAGTCAAAGTCAAGGCTCATCACTGGCTCCTGGTGGCAAACAAGTTGGCTCAATGCTTTTCCCACTGACAAATTCCAAAGGACCACTGATCCATCTTCATAGCCAGCTAGAAGCAAAGGTTGTGAACCACAGTTGAGCTGATCAAGGGAAAAATAAAACTGTTTGAGAAGCAAATAGTCTGTTAGGAAAATTATCATCCCCAAGTACGTTTCAGTCCAAGCACAAAGAAAATAAATGAAAATGCTGACTGGCATAAAAGTGAAACGTTCCTAAGTCTGAGTGTCAAATCTTGATAGCCTATCCACTTACAAAAAACACTGCTAGGTAACTGCTGACATGCAGTTACGGTTTTTATATCTACATATAAAATTCTACGTTTTAGCTACGTATTATATAGATAAGATGGAGAGAGATAGAGATATATACACACGTAGAAAATTTCTTTCTGAAAAGGCACACTATTGCCTTCTACAACACCTGAAAAAAGGCTGCCTGAAGCTTTCAGAAGCTTTACTTCATGGCCTGAACTTTGTTTGCACTCCTTCAAAAAAAAATTAGAGCAACTGAGTTCCTATCAAGCTGTACAAACCCGTATGGACACTGAAAGAAGTGCCATGCTTAAAAATTCCAGTTTCACATTGCCAAGTGTAGGGTTACACGTATGGATCGTTTACCCAAGTGCGCCACAGTGCTTAAAGGTAAACACTGAACCCCTCATCAGGAATCTCTGGCTGAGTCACCAAGGGGTTAACGGGTGCCCGAAGTCCCACTGTAACCAATTGAAAGCTATTTTGATTAATGATGTCACAGGCCAAAGGGCATGGCACCCTGGGCAGACACCTAATTTATTTAAGCCTCTGAAATAACTCAAAGAAGGGAACATTACTGGATTACATGTCACACTTAAGGAAAATATTCATCATTTCTCCAGCCAAAAGACTAATGACCCCATAAGCAGTAACTGGTTATGTGAGTGAAGATGCAAATCCCTAATGAAAAGCAACTAAAAACCAGGCATCTGTTAATGCCAGTTATTTCTTTAATAGGAGATGAAACACCAAAATAGATACTGGGATTACAACCACCTCATACAGGCACATCTAAGAAATGTATCCAATAGGTTTGCTTGGTGTTCAATTCAAAATAAAGGTAAAGGCCATTTATAAAGCATTAGTGTTTACCAGTATCACATTATTGAATGAGATTCTTCAAACTCGCTGGCTGTCAATGTCATGATACAAACCTGCAGTGGCTGAAGGCTCTCTGCCCCTGTTAATGGTCCAGACTATTCTCCCACTGGTTATTATTTGTTCTAGGGGGAGTTAAACTAACAAGAGATGGGTGGTCTAGGTAGTAAGACTGCTGAGTAAAAGCCTCATGTTCTTTCTCAGATTTATTCAGCCTAAAGAAGTGTTTAAATGAGGAATGGATCTCACTGAGCAGGGAAGAAAATTGCCCCTTAAAAGAAGGAAACCAAGGGAAAATCCCCTACATCATCTTTCTGAACAGGTCTGCCCGCACCTGGGATCCTGCAGGAACCTCATTCCTTGCTTTAAGATCTCTTGTCTTTTAAAAAGTTAGGAGCATGCTCTGGCTAGACAGGCCCACAAAGAAGATGTCTCAGAATGCCCAGAACTGTGCACTATTTTTCTGTCAAATTTTTGATTTGCTAAAAGTAAAATATTTTTAATGGTATAAATGGTATACATTTAATAGTATAGAATAATATAAAAATCAGAGGAATAAATATATGTGAATTCATGTTAATTCATCAGGTACTTTGGATGAAGAGTACCTGGTTTTTAATAACAGGTAAAAGTAAAAAAAAATCTGAATGAAACAAACATTCAAAATTTTATTTATATCTAATAAATGGCAAAAACCTTCAAAGCAAAGCAAAACAAAAGTATTTCATAGGTACTTCAATTAAGTTTATGCCCAAACTGGGGGCTTTTAAACAAACAAACAAACCAACCACAGTTCTTTTGTACTGCTCTTCTATGAGCTCATGATGCCCCCTGAGCTTTCATTAGCCAATGAAATAAGATTTGGATGGGCAGGGTCAGCTCTGCCTTACTCAAAACAGGATGGCCAGATTTTTATAGGTGCTCATAACCCTCGTTAAGGTAAGAGAGACAGGCGAGCGCTCAGCGTTACAGGAAATGCCAAGAAAAACCTTTTTGTGTGTGTGCGCTGTGAGTACCTTTTAGCTTAGATTTGAAAATCAGTAATTTGCAGGTGAGACCTAAGATTGGTCTATTTTAAAAACAAAGTATTGTTTTCTACAGAATGAAGGTCTCCCAGACTTCTTCCTGACTTGCCCTAACCATATGAAGTGTAATGTTTCAATGAGTACATATACTTGAACTTACACAATAAAAGCTATTGAAAGATTCGGGGAGCTCTCAGTCTAACGCCTGGGCTCACCAAGCAGTGGTTCACAACAGCCTATTTATTTCAGTTCCAAATAACGGACACTTCTGGTGAAAAGTCTTCACCATTCATGTTTTGGTTTCAGTGGAAAAATTAAATGACAAATCGTTGTTCTTCCAAAGTAGAATATTTTGTTGTTGCATTTCGATAACTGTCAAGGAAGGAAGAAAAGGTGATCTGCTGTCAACTCAACAGGAATAATTGCTATAGTTTATATAAAGTAATAACTCTGCGTTTCCAGTTTCTACATGTATTATTCCTGTTGAATTATTTTGTTTGCACCATTACACAACATGATGCCTTCCTGAAGGAGTGCAAAAAATTTAAGGGAAGACTATCCTTACTCCTGCAAATCCTACCCCACCCAATTTGCAATAGCAGGAAGGTATGAAGCTGAAGGGACAATGTATTTAAGAATACGAACCTTCACAAGGTAAAATTGAATGAACTAATACATCTAAGGAAAGACCTAGTAAAGTGACGGGGCGGGGGGAAAGTTTCAAACCAACAAAATAAACAGCTTTTTAACTGCTCAGGAGAAGCCAGTGAGGCTTAATCTGCAAGCCTAACCTAAGCCTCTATTTCCTTCTGCTCCATAGTAAAGTTTCTAATTCATGCTGCTGCTGGTAAGGTGTGTTGTTTCCCCAATACATGCATCTTTTTTTATTGGCATGCAGAAAAATGTTATGATACACGGCTGCAGCCCCCAATCTCTTCTTGGACAACAACCCTGAGCATGCTTCCTTCAGACCATTATGTGGCTCTCTCCATGTCAGCTTCTGTTTCAACTTGTTAATTTACTGTGCCATAAGCAACGTCAGATAGTCTCTTAGGCAACACGTTGCCCATAAGCGACAGGTTAGGGAGTGCTCATCTCCTGGGTATGTCTGTATTGCCCAATGCAGTAATGCACAAAGAAATCCTGGATGGCCTCTATTCAGGAAGGGGTGCAGCTGGGTTAGCTTGTGTTCTTCTGCTTTTATGGTTACAGGGTTACTCAGTGAGCTGCTTCCAGCGAAACCACAAAACAGAACACAGAGCATCACTTTGGTACACCACATATAATTATTTGCCCTTAAGAGTACCCTCCTCCCTCATGCTTTTAAACCCAGTTGCACACATTTGTAAAAGAGCAAATACGGCTGTGAGGGATTATTTATCCTTGCCTGTTGCAGTCTAGGAAGTTGTGGTGACTTCCCAAAGCCAGAATTTGCATGGAATAATTTACCTCTTCCAGTTCCCAGTCATCTGCTTTATCCCCACTGGCAACAAAATTAAAAACGGCATAAAATCTGCACCTGCTCTGCTTCCTCGAGGAATACCAATATTAATGCATGTAGAAAATACAGCAAGACAGAGGACTTTTTATACAGGCAACAAAATTTTCAACACTGAACATTTCCTCAGTTATCTTCATCTTATTAAAATACGTCCAGGAGACAGAAAGCCCCATTCATTTAGTTAAGTACTGAACACTGATTGCATTTTTAGGAGAAGCTTTCTGTTTAATAAAAGCCTAATCAGTCTATTTAATTTTCCCATCTATTTTTTTTCCTAGTTTTTAATTACACCATGAGACTTGAACTGTGGGCTCTCCTTCTTTTGGCTAAAGTCAGCACCTGAATTCCTCTAGACTTCAGCCGTCGGTTCAGGACCTTGACTGCAGACACTAAGGCCTCAAATTCAAAACTGATGATAGATAATTTTCTCAACTGAAACCAAGACAGATGAATCTGCAGGAATAACATACTGGAAATCAGTGGGGATGGTGCTGCATGTGGTCAGGGGGTTAAACTGTGAATCAGCTTTGCCACCAATTCTTTGGAGATTTAGAGCCAACCACCTAAACTCCTTCCTCCCTCTGCTGCCACCTTTTTGTATTACTTGTCTTTCACTGGTGGCACCCCATAAGCAATATTTGCTGAATACTCTGCAAACGTGGGTTTTTTTTCATTAAATGCTTTTATTTACCTTTCTGTCCAAAGTCAATACAACCATAAATACTTTGTTCCTATTGTATGTCTGGAACAGAAATGTTCATGGAGTGCTTCCTTGTCCTGAGGGCATTGAAGTGAATGTAACCTGCCCTTAAAATCACTGTTTTTAAGTAACCCAGTCATTTCAGATCATTCTTAATGCAACGAGAAACCATATCAAACAACTGGCTTTGGTAAGTCACTCATTTTCCTCTTGATTGATGCAAAAACCGTATCTATCCTAAGGATACAAAGCTTTCCCTGAGCATTTGCAAATCTTCCATTAAAGCTTGGAAAGCTCTGAAAGTTACATTAAGGATGTTCACAAATCTTTCCCCCCTTTAATAGTATAATTACTTGATTGATTTGATAATAAATCAAAATCCAAGTGAAGAAAGATTCATGTGCTTCATATAAAATGAATCACAGGGAAAACATTTCACAATTAGCAGGCGCTCTTGCCTTACCTGCCATAACTTCAGACACATGGGCATGCCCAGCTTGGCACCCACATCTGGCTTCAAGGTACAGACTGATATCTTGGATGGCAGCTCCAAAACCTGAACCTGACATCAGGAAAACAAGAGTATTTGGTCAGGCTCCAGGTCAAAATTCTGCTGTTAAAAACAAAAGTCTTTTAAGGTGATTAAGGCTAGCATAAGCTCTTCCAGTAAAAACTGTCTGGAGGAAACTGAGGAATGCATGTTAAGTTGGAGCTCTGGGGGAATCTACAGCTATCTAAATAAATGCATTATTTTAGGAAAGGCCAGACAAAACTGCTAGAATGAACACATACTCTTCTTCCACGCTTCTATTTAATCTGTATTATAGTCTTCTTTCCATACAGTAGATGATATTGTGCATACACTAGATAATACTGCAGACTGCTTAATCTGAAAGCATGCCGCTCCTTCCTCTCCCCTTTTTCCATCTCTGTTCCTAATTTTTTTCTTATATTCACTTGTGGACACTTGCATTGTCTCCTCCGTTCTGTCACGGTAACACAGAGCTTGTGTGGCAATGTAGGCAATACATGTTTCTAAGGTGGACTTTTTGTTTACTGTCTGACTGCACTAACAACATGTAAACCCAGAGTTACCTGCTAATGCAGGCTGGAGCAGCAATGGCATACAGGTATTTTTAACACAATATTGTCTGACACTATTCAAAGCAGGGTCAGACAATATTCCCTTAAACACCTGCTCCCTGTCTACATAGCAGCTTCCACTGTTGCCTGCACTGATGGTAATGAATTATGAATCTGATTTCCATGCCCCCCCCCCTTTTTTTTTTCCTCTTAGCATGGGGCAAGTCTTTCCTCTTCCAAGGAAGTAGCTCATTTCCACCTCAGGATGATGGCAGGCAAGATCAGGGGGAGTCTGCCTTTGCAATTTGGCACTGGAAGGTTTGGAGTCTCTCGAGTGACACAGAGTGCCTCAGTCTGGGCTGATTCTCAAGCCTGGAACTAAGGAGAAATAGAAGTTCTTAGGTGTCAGAAACTTGCTGCCAGGAACATTGCTGTTTCTCAAATGCATATTTAATCACTAAGGTGATCTTTTATTTTAATTAAATAAACAATGGTCTGCATTATCTCATAAAAATTAAAGGACTTCAAACATTTGATAAATCCAGCATCACCAGCCATTCTAGGCTGTTGGACAGCCCCAGTCATGTGAACTTCCTTAAGCATCTGAGATGAGGTATTACACAAATATGGCTCCTCTGGGAGCCATCAATCAAGACCACGGCAGCTGTGATGGTTTTCCAATCCCATACCTTTAGTTCAAAGCTTGTCAGAACATCTTCCTATTTCTAGAGGTTGTCAGCTAGCCTGCCAAAAGCCAGCTGCACTCTAGGACTGCAAGTCGACAATGTACTAAACACAATATACCAAACACGTTCTAAAGCCACTTAGCAACGGAGCGGGAAACTTCCCCATATTTGAGGGATGGAGACTACAGCAAAGAGCCATCTAACACATAGACCAAACCTATGAACAGACCAAGGTTTGATCATCTGGGAATTCTGGTTCTTTGGAGCTACACTCTTAACAAACAGACGCTTTTCCCTTGGCAACTTTCTTGCTATCAACATAATGACCAGGTTAGCTATTGCAGGAAATGGGCTCTAAGTATGAACATGACCTGCTCTCATCTTCCATCTTTCATCACTGGCTCTCCAAAGGGCATTGCCTCCTAGGCAAGACTGAAACTGCAACTTTTATGTAATAAGGAAGGGTAAGTGCGCTGTGACAAATGCACTTCTGCAAGTTAGGAGGGAAAAAAAACCCAACCAAACTCTTTCGCTTTACTTTGATTAAAAACAGACAAACTGGTACAAGGGCTACAACTAGGCTTGCAAAGGACAAAGAAAAATACAACGATGAAAAAAGCTTTTTGCAGAAAGCAGGCAGGCATGAGCTGCCTATGCTAGATTGACAGTCCCAGAGACTGTCTGCATTAGAGGCAACTGAGCCTTAGAAATAAATACTAATTCATGTATTTTGACAACTGTAACCTAAAACTTGGAAGTTCTGTGTTTATATTGGTTTTGCTTAATAGGAGAAAGATTTGCCTTTGCCTGAGGTTAATAGTGTTCCTGGGTGGCTAAAACTGGCCACAAGGAAACACACCCTTTTTCTTTTTCACATTAATAAAGCTTTTAGCATGTTTCTGGCAAATTGGCAAGAAAAGTGCGTGTAACTCATAATTGGTGATTTAAATGCAATCATGAACAAATAAATGCCTGTTCAGATCTCATTATTTATGGACTGAACCTGCTTTAAGACAAAATTACCTTTTTTTGGGCACCAGCCAACCATAAACACTTATTAAGTCTTAATTTTAATCATAAGCTGCAAATGTACTGTGTCTCACACAGTGCTGCCTATTTGGAAGCACTATATATTATGGGAGCTTATGTGAATTTATTGAAACCTGACACAGTTCTAATGTAAAGGTTCACACACACAGTGAAACTCTCTTACCTCAGGAGACAGCAAATCATTATCAGTTTGCAGAGCCCAAGCAAACAAATGAAAATAAAACAGAGATGAGTTGTAAGAGACACTGGGGTAAACGTCTTCTCTTTGGATCAGTTGCTTATTTAATTCTTCACTACCAGAATATGTGTGTGTGTGTACTCTTTGCCTGACACAACAACTCTCCGTCTGACACAGGAATGCACTCGTCAATTTTGTTTAATTTAAATATTATTGAGCACTGCTGTAAAATGGAGGGAGTTCTTTGTTTGATTAGAACAAGGCACAGGACTTAGAATGGTTGTATTTACTGGTACAGTGGTTGTGTCTACAGGCTTGCTCAGTTCTGTAAAAGGCTGAACACTCTGGCTGTGAGCCAACAAAGTACTTAAATATGTACTTAACTTCTGAATAATAAAAAGTTCATATTTTCTTGCAACACAGGCACCATTACCACTTATTAGTTCATATATAAAATATGCAACTTTCAGTTTCAAGATACACATCCTATAGCCCAGACAAGCATGTGACCTTTTATGCCCATGAACAATTTGCAATTAGCTACAACATTGCTTTCTGCATTTATGCCACTTTTAAAATATTTTTGGTATTTTGATGTCAAGTATTTGAAGTAACATTTTTGTGGGGATGTCCTCAAACAGTCCTTCAAAGAGAACAAAAGTACGATTTCTACAAAGCAAAAGTGGAAATTGCCAACAAAGCTGTCAGTCAGTGATTGCTGTGATAATGGGTATTAGATGTGAACTTACCCAGTAGGAACTGAAACGGACCCTACAATTACTTCACACTGAGCAAATCTCTGGCTGCTAATAGTGATTCAACTGTTTCCCGCCAAGGTACCAGTTAAAGAATTAGCCTGGGGTGAAAGACCACATATCACATTACAAATCACCTGCACCTCCCCTTCTCTCACCAAACACGACTTTCAGCTTCAGATGGAAGATGAGTACCTCAATCTGACGACAGACTTTCTGACCATTAGTTCCTCAGAAGGACTCTTGTTCCCCCTTAACAGTATTCAGCAGCACCAGAGGAGTTTTCAAAACTCCTGCACATGAAAGACCAGCAGCAGCTGCAAATACTTAAATGTCAGACAAATCTTGGGGTGGTGTCCTTGTTATTAGAGCATGAGTTCTATAATTCAGTCATCTTTCTGGCAGGTAAAAGTGATTAGAAGCCCCAATGGTTCCTTGTGCTGCCCTCTCTTGAGCAGAGTATTTGAGAGCAATGATGTTTCTGCTTCTGAATTGTCTCATTTCAAAACCAAAAGCAATCTCCCAAGCACCAGCAAAAGAGATACTTCCTACCTCCTCCAGGGCTTTGGCTGCCACGGCCATTAACCAGCGTCCCTGTGCCACCTTTAACAGAGAGCATCTGCAGAATCCCACATTCTCCGTGAAGACAGAATCCGTCACTGAAGTCCGTCCCTCTGCTAAATCCCATAAGCAGATCCTCTGGTCACGACCCTGACTGTCACAGTAAAACAAGTAAGTTATCCATGAGCAGCAGGTCTGAGGAACACTGGCTTCCTGCAGGTTACCATCTCAAAGTTGGGTCTTTAACATGCAGTAAAGGAGTGAGCACACTACAGCTTCTGTGGGGGTATTAATTGGGTCTTTCATGCAATGCATCACTGAGACCACCACCCTTCTACTGACAGCACAACTGGCCAATAGGTTCAAAAGTTGCCGGGAGGAGGGAGGACCTGAGAGTCAGTCAGATACACTGCAGTCACAGTTGGCCATGTTTCTTTGTGAAGAGAGACTTGATCAAAAACACAGTTACGCTATTTATGCATGTGTGTATATTTATGAAGTCTCATGAGTATTTGAACATCTTAATAATAAAAATACATTTTACCATTGATTAAGTCTAATTTAAAAGGAAACAAAAGTACCCAGAGAGTAACACATTTAACACTCTCTCACCCTAGCAATGAAACAGAAATGTCAGGCGTGTTGACAGCTGAAAGACAAATAGCAAGACAACAAAGACTGCATCAAAGATAAATAAAAAGCTACAGTTATTCAGTGGCAACTTCCCACAGCCACAGGGAGAGCACAGAAGACTGTTACAACTGTGTATGTGCGGAGACACAATAGGAGAGGGACTGGCAGTGCAGTGAGTAGCAGGAATTAAACAATGAAATGCTGTGGTTAAAACATCCAAAACCAGAGAACCAGCAGCTGCATTGCGCATGTACTAGTACAGCTCACACAGAGGCTCCTCTGCACGCCACTCTGCCACACAGAAAAGTCTGTCTGTTGGTCCCAGACGGCAAGACCAAGGAGGCCAGACAAAGGGCACAGCATCAATTGCTACATATTTATGTGATCCCACCAGCTCTGGAACACAGTACCACTGTGGAGAAGCTTCTAATACAGTAGCAGAGGATATGTGTCCTCATGTTATCACCTGGGACAAGGAGTCATCAAAAATCCCTTATACATTTCTTATTTAATTAGCAGTATCACCTGATGAAAGTGTGAAACCTGAACAGAGGTAAATACAAATCTACAGACTGTTGGGACTTCTTCAACATCAATACAGAAACTCCCATCTGCTGTTCAGCCGAGTGACAAACTGTCAGAACATTTATAGCACTGGGCATACAAACAATGTGGTATTGCAAGAAATTGTTGTGATTTAGCTTTAGAACGGAAAACCAAAAAATACAGGTAACTTGCTGTCTTAAAATTGCACTGCTATATGAACTGTTATAAACATACAGCAAAAACTGAGGTATGGAAAAACTCTATAATTATACAAACAATATGAGTTTATGGGGGAGAGTGTTGATAATTGTACTTAAGCAGATAACAAATATAAATGCTAATGAGTTCCACTGTATATTATAAGAGATGTCTTCTGTAGATAAACATGTCAGAACACCTCCTAGTCATACAGACACTTTGGCATCTACTTTAGATCACCTGTCTAATCCAAAACACACAAATCTTCCCGCCCTTTCCTTGCTAAACGAGAACAGAAGATATTTTGCAACAAAGGTGTGCAATTCAGCCTTCTTGCTCATTTTCAGTCTTCCATTCTCCATCTCTGATTCTTCTCTTCCTTACCTTTTTTCCTGTTTCCCCTCTATTTATAGACTCTTTATATAAATTTTGATCTTCCCTGAGAAGCAGTTGTGAAGCATTTGCCAACTTCAAATCCAAGTGTATTTCCTTTACCCAAAGACCTCACTGATCTCAGCGCAGTAATAAAGACACTATGGACCCCAAGTTGTTGTGATGGCATCACCTATATATCACAAAGAAATTAATCGTATCATTTTTTCCACTTTTTGTTCTACAGTTTTTCTGTGCTTTTATACTTCTGTACATTTCCATATATGTTGGAGAGACTTTCAGTGACTCCAGAAATAAGAAATTCCTTTTTTTTTTTTACCCCCTTCTTGAATCCTGTACATCACAGAAACAAGAATAATTTATTTCACTGTTTTTTGCCTGCTTTACTAACCTGAGGAGCCTGTCTTTACCACCCATTGTCTCCACGCAGTAGACAGATTTTCTTCCATGGCCATCCAATGCTGCATCCACTCTGTGTGTTTTCATGTTCCAGACATGGATAAACCCATTCTCAGACCTGCCAGTAAGAACAGATGCTTTTAGCGTGACCACTGCAGACAATCTGATACGGCGGTCTGACACTTTTTTTTTTCCAAAACTGAACCTGTGTGTACAAAGATAACGCACCCATCATTCATTTTGTTCTTTTCTCCAGATACAATTTATCTAAATAATACACTTTGTTGTAAAAGGAAACATCTGTATGATGCTCAGCTCAGTCAGAAATCCTGGTTTACTTACCCAGAGAAAAGAACGGGGACATCAGGTTCTTGGCTGCTACAGGAAAAATGCAGAGTGTGGACTGCAGCACTGGTACCTCTGAGAACAAACTGTGGATCCGGCGGTGGCAGAGCCATCCGAGCAATGAACTGGGGGAGTGAGAAGACGACGCAGGATCATGGAGGGTAAGGCAGCCTAAAGTGAAATTACGATGTTGAATATATTCTGATCAGGAGATCTGCTTTTCCTAGTCACTCGCCTCGAGTTCAGTGTAAAGTATTTCCTCTTAACATCAACTGATCAAGCAGCTGTCAAATCTGCTTTTTGCTGCATTCCTTTTTAAGCAAGGTAAGTGCGTGCTGGGCTGGCCATGTGTATGCACCTCTTGCACATTTGTAAATACAAAATTGTTTGGCTCTTCTCCCTGCTGCAGAAAGGAAGAGCTACAAAACACAAGAAACTGGACACCCATAATTTCAGTGGGCAAGCAATTCATCATTCCATTTAGCCCCTTGGCAAGTCTTTCCCCGTCCTCCCCATAAAAATATTATTTCTGTGCTTTCCACTCACAATCATTTACAGAAAAGCACGGCATTGACCATATCAACTGAAAAGAATTTCAGATGAGATTAGTTATGATCATTTTTACACAAGAATCCCATTACTCCCAAGTGCTTGAATTTTTGGTTCCAAGCACGGTTACTTGAAAAAAGAAATGCAGTATTTCACACTAACTTAGTGACTACTGTGTTAACCATTTTATTCCAAGGTGTTTACATTCCCCAAAGGATCAATAAAGAGATGGATGCTTTCAGCTCTATGTCATTGGTTCAAATGCAGTCCGAGTCAGCAAAGACCAGTACAAGTATGTGGGGAAGGGTGTTGCCCTAACACAGGAAACATGAAGGCCAATTTACTGTGACCTCACAGGGATAGTTTGTGTTATCAGATTAGGCACACTCGTACTGATCTGGCACTTTCACCAAGCATTTCCATTCACATTAAGGCCCTTGCAGGCACTTGCGCACAAGCCCCAAAGGAGGACAACTTTTCTGTGTTCTGACCTGCTGCACATGACCCTCCAGACCTGTGCTGGGACAAGGTGACGAGCAGCTTCTTTGACTGTAAGTGCAATTTGCAATTCATTGGGAAATGCATTATAACATGCATTACAGTAAGTATTTTCACCATGAAAAGTTTTTACTGCTTTATCTGTGGCATTACTAGCCCTGCTTGTGTTCTGCTTCCTCCTTTCTGACCTGGCTTCATATGGAAAAGGACAGCTTTTGCCACTACAGATGTCAGCTTTCATCACCCTTTCCCATTCATGTGTATATTACACTGGATTAAACAAAAAGTTTTCTAAATTCAGTAAGGGAAGATCAGCAGGTGTTTTTCTGCCTGCTGGTTCACAGCAGAGGAATTGCAGAGAATCAGAATAGAACTACAAGTTACATGGTAAGTTAAAACAGCTCAACTTTTAATTGTCAGCGCACCTTAGTATCAGCTTTTGAATTGTGTTTAATGGATGCACTTGCTATTGCAGCTCATTTGCAGGTCTACCTTGAGTATTTATAGATCAGTCATCACCATGGTATCTATAGGTCCTAATTAAACACAATTATCTTTTAGGACTACTGATGAAACAGGACTATTCAGCATAATGTGCAGTTTTCCCTCAATAGCACTGTGTAATTAAGTATGAAAATAATGAGCTCAGTGGATAACCTCCATGTTTTAGTACCCTGACTCATCTGTTTTATGATGTTGTCTGATGATCTAGACTCATGACAGGCTGGAGTAAATTTTCAGATGATTACACTATGTACAGGTTCGCCCCCATGGTGAGATCCAGCTCCCAAGTGCCTGTCTGTAACATTCTTCACCTGTGCTATAAACCTCTTAGATTAAGGATTTTGTCACCAAAGGTGACCTCTTTGGGACACTACAGCTATATGCTGTTGCCCTCAAAACAACACTTTGTAGAACCACATAAATAAAACAGCAGCTATGCAGCTTGCCGGAGGAGCAAGGTCCCTCTTCACAGTGGAACAATCCTGGGTTATTGCACTGAGCAAGGAAGACAAAACAGAACTGAGTCAACCCAGGGGCTAGCTGGGATTACAAGGCAGGTTTTTAATAGCATTTTTCTAATTACTGACATAGAAGTTTTTGCTGACAGACAACAAGTGTGTGCGTGGCTGTGGGAAGGGTTTTACCTGGCATGAAACAGATGCTACTAATGCATGTCTTTACAAAGACAATATTTCAGAAAAATCCTTGGTCTGGCTACAGGAAAAGAAAACAACTGAAAACATACTTTCAAGCTGTAAGCAAACAAAGTGACTTTTTGCTCCTTGGAGCCTGGTTCTTTCATTGCTTTTTTGCTAATCAGATGTGTGAATCTGGACATTTGGCTTAATATTAAACCTATGTCATTTTTTATTTGGCTTATGAGATGACTCCATATTACTTCCTATCATGACTCAGCCGATGAATGGTAGGTGTGACAGTATTAAGCGTCTCATTTTTCTTCCAGCAAGTGCTGAACTGTAAAATTGCATCTGTGCTGTCTTCTTCATCCACGAGCTTGGACAAGGCATTTAAGACCAAGATTTAATTACAAGTTCTTATGTACCTAAATCAACAGAAAGTCCTGTGAGGTTGCAAATAGATGGAAATTTGGTGCACAGTGCCTTAAAAACTCCAAGAAAGCATCGATCTCTTCCTGTTAACACACAAGCATCCACAAAAAAATTGACATATAGCCTATCTTCAACTCACCAGGTAGCTCAATATCCACTTTAGTTACAGGGATAATGAAATACATTGTGGTATACTGATGCTAATAGATAATGTTTATACCATGCTTTGTTAAGCAGACAGCTACAAACACGCTAAATATGATGACTGTGCGATGGTTAAAGCCCCTGGGTAAATTTTTCAAAAGTGCCTAAGTGATTTAGAAGCCTAAGACTCATTTTCAAATGAATTTTCAATCCTAAATCTCTAGGACTTTTTAAAGTTTCACCCCAGGTGTCTGAAAATGAGTTCTCTAATTAGCACAACATTTATGTTCTTGTTAACTCCATCTAGCCTCAGGGAGACCAATCTGTTCTTGTTAACTGGGGATATCTGCAGCAAATTTAATTAAATGAATTTGCTTAGTATTTAGGCTGGTCTGAGAGCAAAATCTGGCTCAAGGGCTTGAACAAGCAAAGTGCAACCTACGGAAGGAAGTTCATTTAAAAGCATCTTTGGGCTACAGTATGTTTTTTCCCAAGATATCCTCATGGTATGATTCCTGCCTTGTATGACAGGATGTTAAAAGATATTAATCATTTTGCTTATGGCATTATTTGTTTGCAAGAGAGTACCACCAGTAAGAGATGGAACACCTCATCATCATGCTCTTGTTTTTTAAAAGATATCCCACTTTTTTTTTCTTCCAGCCTACCCTGTGCAGGTAACAGCATCCTCCTTCAGGGGCTGAGCTACACTCTGATATGATACAGACAAGATACAGACAACAAAGTATTTTTCACAAGGTGCACTGCAAATCCTTGGACTCCTGCATAGATAGTATTTGCTGCTTCAGTGAGAAGTGGAAAACCCAGCTGTTCAAATGAGTATTTCAATTAGCAAATGGCTAGGCACACCACACATTAGGTACTGAAAAGGGTTTTGTCTAGAAAATGCCTCTACTAAATGCCAGAACAATTGCATTTCCTTCAAAATTACATTATTTTAATGAACAATCCACTATTAATATCCCTCACAAAACTTACTTTGTTTAGATTGCAATTAGAATAATCTTCAAACCATTGAATGTCTATGCAGTGGCATTCCAGTATCATCACTTCAGCATTTGATATAGAAAAGTTAAGCTTTTATTTAATAAGAGTCATTTAAAATATGTAAATGTCAAAAGGATTACCTTAGGAAAATCTCTCAGAGAACTGAAAACATTAACAGATTCCCACAGGAAAAATTCCAGCAGAATTCAGCAACTCCCCTGTTCCCACTCCTGTCACTTGTATTTCTATCACACATTGAAGCAAAAACAAATTGCTATTAAAATATCATCAAAACACCGTCCTCCCCCTACAACCTCCACAGTTCGGCTTGAGATACCAGTGGCTCAAGCAAAGACAAGAAAAAACCCTCTTCTTTTTTTCTTTAGGCTTATTTAGAGTAGTAAAAACTCAGTGGTAAAAAAGCTTTTTCAGGTATAGAAGAAATAAATCTCTCTAGGCTTGTCTGGCAAACTGATTTGGGACTGAAACCAGCAGGTGTGCAGACATAATTACTACAGCAAAATATTCAACACATCCAGGTGTGCTCACAAACTTATATGAAATCCCTGTTATTTTTTGAAAATTCCTAGTCTACCAGGTGCCACCCTCCCAAAGGAAAACTCGGAGCAAAGAATGAGTTGAGAAAGATATGACTAAATTGTTCTTCCCCATTTCCACACTGTTTCTTTTTCTTTCATACAAAACCCCTTTTTTAGCACGCACTTCTGTGCCTACCTGCACTCACTCAAAAGTTTTGTGCCACTCTGCCAAGTTGTATAGCATAGCTCTAGTGCAGGGTGTGTTTTCAAAGTGGGTTGCTAACTGTAACTGCAGAGGAAGTTGATGGAAATATGAAACACCCTCAAATTAATAATGCAATGCAAACAATTTTGTTTATTCCATTACATTTACAATCTCCAGTGCTGAAGTACAGTAAAGTAAAGCCCTTGCAGTATGAGCCTTCCAGACACAATATTCCCCTGTTTCCAGCCTGTAACTCACTGCAGACAACTTGGTTTCATAGTGATGGAAGTATGAACTATCCTCTGCCCAAGAAACACCCTTACAACATGGCTGCTTGGTGAATACCATGGCCCTTCCTCATGTAGCCAACTATCACCTTGCTGGTGTGTGAGTTACTTGAGTAGCAAAGATGTATCAGGAGGGTACCAACAAGCACCCAATTCACCTCACTGAATTATGCCAGAGACACAGTGGGACTCGGAAACATCTTGGACATCCCTGGTTGATGCAAAATGCTGCCTGGGTATATGGCACTTCTAGGAAGCAAAGAACAAGAGTTTAGGGTTACAAGAACCCCTTTAAAGAATAGCATTTCC